CAGTCAGGCACAACATGAAAACAAGGAGATGAGGTGCAGGTGGGTTGCAAAGCAGCTTGTAGATGCACAATAGGCAACTGTAGGCAAGATAAATCAGTAAAGCTATCACTGTAGGTAGGTGTAATTACATTTGTGGTCTGGCAGGGAGGGTGGTCACCATGACACAGCATCGTAATGACTGATGACATTGCCCACTGGCCAATCCCCCCCCCCCCCCAAGGGGAGGAAATACCTCAATAAAGTGTTGTAAGAGTGAGACTCAAGCATAAAAAAAGCTTTGTAAAGTTCCAATCAAGGGAAAAAGCATATCAAGCTCTCCAGTATTCATCTTATTTATGTTTAATACAGGATTAAATGCCCTCTTGATCACACTCACATTGGTAGAATATGGACAGTAACTACACTCACCTACAAGGCAGCATGATAAAGTGCCTTTAAATAAAGGAGATGTAATGCAGTGTCATATGAGTTGCTGTTGTAATTATGGGGGAGGTATGAAGAAGAAGTGGAAAAGATGTGATCTATTGTGCCTCTAACATGCCTAAGTGCAGAACTGGGTGCTATTTCAAGTAAGTAAAAACATGATTAGTGATTATTAGGGTGTTGTCACGTGTGAGAGAACATGATGCCACGATGAGTGCTCTTGCAGTGAACGAACACAAGGTGAACAGCCCTTCTGATGAAAAACAAGAAATGCTGTGCCCTTTACAATGCCCTTATGTTGGACTGGTCTGACCATTATGGGAACAATTACACCCTTAAAACATTTTTTTGTTGTTGTAGTTGGCATTTATTAATGTAGATGATTTTAAAACCACGCCAGTACAACTAGTGGTTTGCCTTTATGTGTCTCTCTTCTCTTTTGGTCTATGCAGCTTTTTTCCAATTTAAAACATGAATGACACCATACAGAACAAAGACGGGAACAAATAGTATCAGGTAGTAATATTTACCTGATAGTATTTTTTTCGACAATATGGAAAAGATGCACCATCTCTGCACTACAAGCATAGCAGTTCAACAGCATTCTCTCAACCTACTAGTTTTTGGTAGTTTTATTTGTAAAAGTGTTTTAAATTTTTTACACACTCTTTTCTGTTGGACATCCTTCTCTCAAAATGCTGTTGCAACTTTTCATCTTGAATTAATCTATACTTGTAAAGAGGGAGGTTAGCTCTAGGTTAGCCAGTGGTGGTAGATAGATAGAGAAAAATGATAATAATACAAACAGATTTGCAAAATCTAACAGGAGACAGGCTTTTTTTGTCCAAAGGTTGAATCAAAAGCTGCAAAAGCAAGGGCTTAATGAGAAAGCTCAAGTTTAAGGTTTTATAACCTTTATCCATACATTTTCTTAACAACTTAACCAAATTAGGACTGGAGCCAGCTCTCAGGCCAAGAGGCAAAGAACCATTCCACACAGGGCAAACATAGAAAAACAGACATAATTTACACTCACATCCAACCCTTCTGCAAATTTATAGTCAGTCACTAACTAGCTTAACCATATATCTTTGGTCTGTTGCACAGGGAAAATACGGGGAGGCCCGAGCCAAGGGGCAAGTTCAAAACAAGAACCTTCTTGCTCTGAGATGATATTACTAACCCCCGTTAACTATGCCACCTGCTTTGATGGTTTCTATTTTATGGTTAGAAGGTACTGACTTATTATAACAGGATAAGGAATTCCATTTTATTTTGTTTGAGAGTGCAGTCCAAAACTTCTGACAGAATATCGCAGAAAGTTGATTCTGCTCTTTTACATAAACAGGAAAACCATGTTCACATTAGACAAAATCAAACTTTTCTCTCAATGAATCAATGTTGACCCTAAAGTTCTCCTGGCTTATGTGCTGACCCTACCATTTGCTAATGACCTAACCTAGCAGCTAGCCTACTAACCTTTACTTGTTTTGCAGCTAACATCAATATTAGATTCCAATCAAGGAGACTGGGTCACACCTGAAATGACTGGAGCACACAGCTAAGAGAGTATTATGAACACACACTCAGTTTTCATATAAAATGCAATTCTTGTATTTTGCTACACTGGTAAAAGTATTAACAAAATAAAGAGTGGCTTGCCAAAATTATGATTTTAATTACAGCAAGCTTTCCACACTTGAATAAAAGAAGGGCACTAAATAGTTCTGTTGATATTAAGTATAAGTTTTATATACAAAAATTATTAGAATAATTATAAAGCAGCGTAAGAAATAATGGCCCAAACTGTATGTAGGCGAGTATGAGGTGAAACATTTTTGAAAGACTTAAAACATATACAATTGTAGTGAAAGCTTTTTAATTATTTAATTACAAGAGTTATTAAAGGATATAAATGAATACCAGAGGAGGGGGGGGGGGGGGATCCAACTCTCAATAGTTATTCGGATGCTTTAAGTACATTTATATGCAATTTAGAGTGATATGCATTTATAAGGACAGCAGTTCTTAGTATAGGTGTCTGTGTATGTACCTATAAATCAATATGTATCTAAAACTTTGATGTCACATGAATTTGTTAAACTGACTAATTTTACAGCAGACTCTTTATTACACTTAGAAACATGCAACAGCTCCCTCTTCTGGGCAGACATAAAAAATGATAAGAGAACAAGTGAGAATGAGAAATGCTTTCAATTTGTTGCTCACTGAAACCAAGAGTAATTTTTGGAACCTGCTTTATTAAATCCTTTAAGAGGTCTCTAGCCTGTGACTTTGGAGCCACATGTGGGCACATGTGGCCCCTCCAGGGGTGAGTGGTCAGTTTGGCTAAACGAACTAAATGATGTTAGCAAGTTGGTGTTTTTTCTTTTATATTTTTTGTTATACAAACAATGAGTTTAATTCAAAATTTAATACAAAAATGACCTAATCTTAGGCATCCATAGATTTTTCTTCTTTCTTTCTTTCTTTCTTTCTTATTAATCTATTTATTTATATCTTTAGAGCTACATAAACTTGGCCTATACATCCTTCTTTTCCATCTATTAGGATGTGTAATGAGAAAAAAGCAAACAAATTTCATAATTGTAGTTACATGGTTTCATAAATGCAAGAAAAATTGTAGTATTCCGGTAAAAATGCAAAAATAATCCAAACCAAATCAAAAATAAAACTTACTAATCATACATAGCCCTCTGCAGAGTAGTGGGGTGTGGTTGATATGCTGATTTATACTGAATAGACTGCACCAACCCCCTGAACCTGCTTTACACCACAATGTAGATTTTTCTAATGAATAATTATTAAAAATGGTTCTTTTTTTAGTTAAGAAAACAAGATTCTGCCACATATCACCAACAGTCAACCTGGTCCCTGGATCCAGATTTGTTTTTGATAATTTCTTGATAACCATAAGGTGATGTCTACCAACATTTCTTATTTCAGTTTCATGTGTATTTGTCAAGTTATGCTCTATTTCTTACTGGGAAAGAATCTATGTTAGGGCTAGCTTTATCTCTGGTAAAGATTTCATCTAAAACTGTCTGTGGCTTTTCCTTAGCTGATCATGCTAGCAAACAGATAAACAGACAAACTAATCATATAATCTTTTGGAAGCAAGTAACAGAACCTGAATCATTTAACTCAAAAGAGCAAAAATAATAAAGAGGGCATATGAGAACAAATGACTGTCTGAATGAAAACTGACTTTTGAAAAGCCTAACTAACAACTGAAGAGGACAAAAAGCAGTGAGTGCACATGTTCGCTGGTTCTTCCTTTAATCATTAACATTAAAACACAGATTTTGTCTCTCAGCAGTAAAACTGAAACATAATTGGGCACCAGTTTAGCTCATCTGGTTGAGCTACAAACCCAAATGCTGAGGTTTGAGTCCATCCGAGACCATTTTTTGCATTTCACCCTCTCTCTCGCTTCATTCCTGTTTACTTTCTACACTGTTCTGTCAAATAAAGGTGAGTCAAAATAAATCAGATGGGGAATAATGGGAAAATGAGGGCTGAGTAAGCTAAAGTAATGAATAGTGGCAGTTAATACATAAAGAAAGATAATATTCTTCAGTCTTTACAGAAAAGCATTTCTCAAAGTCCAAAACATACACAAACAAAAAAACAAAAACTGAACAAAATTAATGAAGTGAATAAAACCAACAACACCTGAAGCTACTCAGCCTCAACTTCCTCAGATACAACTTTCAGTTATTCAAACAACATAGCGCCAGTTAATGGTTGGAAGAGTAAACAGCAGCAATGGCTCAGATGTGTTTTCAGTTTCTGCCTTACCATTTTTCAACAAACACACAGGTGATTGATAATCTCTGCTGGAGGAGATTATCACCTGCTGACTTGGCCACAGGTGAAGAAAGGAAGTGTCGACTTTCAGTGATGAAAACTGGGTCATGTCAGGAGGAGGAGGAGCAATAAGACGAAACAAGAAAACAAGGCTACTTCCTTAATTGAGCAAGGCTTGATAGTTTAAGGAAGCAGAGCCACATATACACTATACATTCTACACTGTATACAACCAGCCACACTGAACTATTCACACTCACACTGATAAAGGCTTTGTTCTCCAACCAGAACCATTGTTTTACTTTAAAAAAAAATAAGTTGCAACACTTCAGAAGAAAACCAGAGCAACCAGATAAAACCCACCTGTACCTCTGGCGAGGCCTAGGAGACGAGGACCAATGCAAAAGAAAGTGTATAAAAGAAAATAAATATTACAAACAGAGCTACAGTTAAATGTATCTATGTGTCATTAAGAAATATTTTTTTAAAAAATGTCTGTTTTCTCTACTTTTGTACTTCTCCTTTCAAGTATATTTGGAAGCATTTTTGCTTTTCAAATATCTGCATTAAAACTAAAGTTATTTCATCTTGTGCTCCCGTTGCTTTGCACACAGTGCAGTTTGGCAGTGCTGAACTAATGAATCTATCTACTTGCTTCAAAGAGGATTACTGTTCCTTGTGCTTAGCTTAGTTACCTCACATTAGGTTGAGGCTAAGGAGAGGTCTGCTGTCTACAGTGGCCATCTGTCTGCCAAGTGGACAGTCGAGCACTCACTTTGCTGTAAATGGAGACAAGGCTCGAGTTGGATGTTTTGATATACCCAGATGAAGTAAGGATCGCTACTCCGGAGGATCTCAGGGACTGGGAGCTGGAAACTGCGAGCCAGGTGTCCATACCCAACGTCCGGCTCTTTGTTGCACTTTACCCATACAACCCGGCTGCCATGTCTCCAAACCACGAGACAGCTGCAGAAGAGCTGCCCTTTGTGCCAGGCCAGATCATCAAGGTAAGATTAAGTGTAATTTCATGCACTGTGTACATTGTTACACCGAAGCGCTTCTCTGTGTCTGAGTTGCGTTTCATCTCTTCATCAGTTCAAAATGTTCTTTGAAAGAACCTATAGTGTTTCCTGTTTGTGCTGGAGTCACGACAGTTAAATGTGTAAGAAGACAATAGGTTTTTTTTCTTCATTTCCTGTCACCTTTTTCATCTGATTGATGTGATTTACCGCCTTTTTTCTCTGAATCTGTCTGCTGCTGCATCACATAAATACAGACAAATACATGTATGCAATAAATACACTCTTTTATTCAGAAACCAAGCCTAAAGTTATAAAAGTAACTGCTGGTGCTGGGTTTTTTTAGGTTACTGGAGACAAAGACGCAGATGGGTTTTATCATGGTGAGTCTGGCGGGCTTTCTGGGTATGTGCCGAGTAATATGGTGGCTGAGATCCCAGTGGATGATGAGTATCTGAAGCATCTACTCATGCAGCAGGGATTCCTCCCCGTGGACCACACAGGTATTAGCCTGTTTACTGTAACACGCTGGCAAAACAGTGTTGCTGGGGTAACTGAAGTATAATTGAAAAACAATTATTGTGGCATAATTTGGAACGAGGCCGTTCAGAGATGATCTGTGAGAGGATGTTTGCAATGAGCTCCTCCCTACAGGAAGTTTACAACAGATATTAGGACAAATAACAGTGAATAAAATTATCACGCACGTCGCTTAGAAATGTGAAATTTACTGATTGTAAAAATATGACACTACCACTGTCACTGCGTGGAGTGTTTGTTTATCCTCTAAGTTAGCATGAAAGCTTCATTGGGATGTTTGCTTTTCGTACTGCAGGCATGTCTCTAACACCAGACCTGAGCGATGTCACCAGTATCCCTGACAGTGGGGCTGTTAGGCGAATGGTAGCCTTATTTGACTATGATCCATGGGAAAACTCACCCAACATGGACAGTGAAGTAAGCACCGTGAAGTAACATTACCACATATTATATATTTAAAATATCAAGATTAATCTACTGTTTTACACAAACTGGTTTTGACTTTCTCTGTCTTACAGGCCGAACTCGGCTTTCGTTCGGGAGATATCATATATGTTTTAGGTGACATGGATCAAGATGGGTTTTACTATGTAAGCATCATCCTTGCACTTACAATACAGTGACTGGTGTTTAGTTTTCATACTGATGTCTGTACAGAAGCTAAACTTTCATTTCAACTTCAGGGAGATCTTCACGGACAACGAGGTTTGGTTCCATCAAACTTTCTGCAGCTGTTTCCCTGGGATTAGAAGAAAATGCACGCTAAGCTGTTTGCTACAAATGCCAAGTCACAGACGCAGTGAGAAACCATAAGTTTCTATGTAAAATATGGCTAAAAGGACACTTCATGTATCAAAAATAGTTTATTTTATTTTTATATTCTACTAACTGCATCTGTTTTAGACTGAAAGAAAGCAGCTAATGAACCCCTCTGTTAGTATCAATAAGAATGCTCAAAACTAAAAAGAGTTCAGGCCTTTGTTTAAATGTTTCTTTATTGAAATAACAGATACTTACAAGCCCTTTGATGCAAAAAAACCCCAAAAACAAGAACAACAAAAAAACAGAATATTTACAATAATGCATATTTTGAAAATTACAGGTAAAATACAAAAATTTTTGTCTTTGCTTTAGGCGCTTTCACAAAAACTCAAGAACTGACTTGCTAAATAAATTACCTGATGAGAATGGATAAATTATTTTAGCCTTAATAATACACAATTTACAGATTTCTTTCTCCCCAGTGTTTTGATATAGCATTTCCATTTTTTTGCCTTATGCCCTGTATATATATATTTTCTATCACTGGCTTATTTCATATAAGTTATTTAAAAAGGAAAAAAAACTTTTTGAATTTTGCAGCAATTTTTTTGTAAAAATAAAGAGACTCTTGTTATAACTGAAAAAAAGTTTTAATCATGTTCCAAATGTAAGAGCTGTAGTTAAACTGAAAATAAACTGTCCTAATTCTTACTTTGCTTCTTACTTTCCTTACCTGATTTTTCTATTTAACAATGGACCAAAAATTGACATTCAGTTCTTTTCTTGTCTGGTAAATACATTTGTTGTAATAAAAAGAAATGCAAAATTTATTGGTTAAAATATCAAAGAAGTTCAGCAGGTTTTCAAATGTTCACACAGTCGGTCTGGTTTCTTCTTTTACTTTCCTCTGCAGCAAACAGTATACTCATCCATAAAGTAGGAAACACTACACTGTGTAGTAAAGTTTAGTAGTGCTTTCTACTTTATGGGTGACAACACTGTACATCAAGTAGCTTCTGGTCGATCCACCGCAAATACTGAAAACTGAAGGTTAATCAAAGGCAAGGCTTCACAAACTGAACCGAACACACGATCAAAATCCACGTTATCATTCTTTATAAAAAGAAAGAAAAACATTCAAAAGACTTGACATTTTGCTCAAAATTAGGCTGAAATGAAGTAGTAACGTCTTAGTATGTTAGTGTGTTTAAAAAACGTTGATCATCAGATTTTCAAGTTGTCATCAGGGTCTTACCAGCGTTTGGAGTCCAAGGAAGAAAGAAAACCCAGAAGTGAGCGTGATCTTTTTATTAACCCTGTCTGAGCCACGTGGTTTACACAGGAAAAGCCCCAACAGTTTCTCACACACACACACACAAAAAATACATGCATGCAAGTGTATGCAGATGTGCACACACACACATGCGCACCCACAAAGACACACGTACACACACACCCCACACAGTGGTTGAAATAGTATTTGTACATTTCCTTAAGATAAAGCAGGAATTATTAGTTGTATTAACAGCTTTTTGTAGAGATTTTTTAAATTTGATGTGTATGTAGTCTTATGAACCTGTAGCTGCTGTTAGTCCAACTACCTCATACACACCTAAACATGTACTTGTACTATACTTCATATTTCTTTTTTGTGTTCACACTAAGTAAAAATATCAGATCAATCTACTTTCACAACCTAAAAGTACCTCTGAATTTAACGTCGTTTATCTTAGGAGGTCTAATTTAAGTGTTTATTTGCACATCTGCACACACAGACACAACCACAAGCGCGCACACACACATGCACACATGCAAATTCAGAGTGTACACCCAGGTCCAGGCCGACTGCACCGCTGCTGCCAAGCGTGATCTCAACCCTTTTAAGGACATACTTTTACGAGGTGGCAACTGCTTTTAAAACAAAGTCAGTCTCTGAAGCAGATAGATATTGATCTTGATAATAATTTATGTGGATGTGTACCAATGATCTCGTAGCTCTTTGCCAATGCAGCACTGAGGATTGACTGAAATAGCAATGTAATGATAAAAGATCAAAGTGAGTCAAAGTAGACTTATTGATTGAGGGAGCTCACTTTGGAGATGTTGAAGCTCTTAAAGGTTTATGTTAGCAAAGGGAGAGCGGTGCTCCTCAGCACAGTCCTCAAAAGTCAGACATTACTGCCTTGCAAGTCTAAAACATTGTGTATAAATTACAGGAAGCACTTTGTATCTCATTTATAATTCTGAGAACTCATTCACGCCTGCATGTTTGTGACAAGGTGTGGGTGGGGGATGGTGGTGCAAGGCTCTTCCCCTATCCCAGCAGCAAATGTGCAATATGCTTGCAACAACAGAAACTTTGCAAACAGAATAGAGATGGGCCTGTGTCCTCTGTTGTCACGACAACCCAAACCTCAGAGTCACACCAAGTGAAATAAGAGGAAGTGGGGGATGGGTGGCGTGCACAAACCGAGAAAAGATGTCCTCGTTAGAAGAAAAGGGAGCCAGAAACAAGCAGAAAGAGAGTAATGGAGAAGATCATCAAAATGCAACACCAGACAATAAGTTTCTTTTTATGCAAGTCATCAGATATTAAGCCAGCCAGCATACACATACACACACACATATACATATAGGTTGTACATTTGTGAAGGCTGAAAAAAACAGCAGTGAGTCTTTGCAGCAGGACAGCATGACTGTGCATCTCTCTGATTATCTCAGCACTGTTGCACCAAAGGCTGTCCTTGCATCAGTCATCTATTCCTGTGCAACATGGGATTATATCCTAAGTGAGTCCTTAAAGTACTTAGGGTGATATAGATAGCGTCAAGGGGCCAAAAACGAGCACAGCATCTAATGACACCGGTAGGTATTATCCTCCCAGCAGGGCTTTAATTGAATTATGTTTTACCTTTGACCATTGAGCTCATGAGAGAATAAATCGAATTTAGGCAGCTGTAAATAAAATATAAACAACTCAGAAGGCATTAGAATGAGCAACAGGGCGGCAGATATAATCTGAATCTGTCAAGAAAAGTTCACCTTTCCTGTTTCTCTCTCATTTTAGGCGTCTAGATTTCTTATTATCATCACTGTTGGTTTGGTTCCATCCCCAAGGATGGAAGAAATGAACTGTCCGAGAATCCTCTTGCACTTTCTTAAACTCAGTATGTGCCTTGTGTTGCTGCTGCTAGTCATGCACCTGATCAGTGCTGCCATACAGTCAAGAGATTTTGGTGAGAAAAAAATTTCAGTCACTTTCATGTACTTGCTCTGTATTTAGTTATTCAGTATCTCAAAAGAAAAAAAGAAACAAGGATTTAGGACTACACAGATCAATGAAATAACATCGTATTCAATTCAGTTGTATATATCTAGCACCAAATCACAACAACAGTTGCCTCAAGGCGCTTTGTACTGTAGGGGAAAAGGCCCTACAATAATACAAAGAAAACAGAGAAAATCCTAAAAGTTAAATGCCCCCCTGTGAGCAAGGCAAGAGGTGTATGAACACATAGTGAGTGAAAAAGGTGAATGAAGAAAGAACACTCAGTGCATCATGGAAATCCCCCTGCAGCCTAGACCTATTGCACTGTAACTAAGGGAGAATTCAGGGTCACCTGATCCAGCCCTGAGACAGGATGTTTCTAATTTTAGAGATATTGCGCAAATAGAAGAAAACACACATATATATTAAAACGTAGTTCCTGGTCAAAAATGACAGGATATGTGTTACTGGCCTAACAGTGTTACTGGAGGCCAAGGAATACCATCCAGTGTAAAAATCTGGTTAGATACCATATTTCTGAGATATTTCAGTTTTAGCTGAATTTAGAAGCAAAGCATTAGAGGTAATCCAGGTCTTTATGTCCTAAAGACATTCCTGCAGTTTAAGTTGGTGTGTGTGTGATCTGGCTTCATGGATGGATAAAGTTGGGTGTCATCTGCATAGCAGTGAAATGTATGCTATACCTTCTAATGATAATGGCTAAGAAAAGCATGTATAATGAATACAGAATTGGTCCTAGCACAGAACTCTGCAGAAATCCATAATTAACTTAAGTGTGTGAAGAGGACTCTCCATTTACACCTATTAGATCTATTAGATAGATCTGATTCAAACCACTGCAGTACAAGTACCTTGTACCTTCAATACCTAAAGCTGATGGTTTGGGAAAAGTAATTACTGTAGTTAACCCAGAAAGGTTAATTTGGGGTAAAAAGAGTAGAAATAGTAAAATTATTAATATGATAATCTGCCTCTGTGGAAGTAGCCCTCAGGTAGCTAGTCTGCACTGTGTTGGCACAAGGCATTGAGACCCTTAATCTTAGTTACAGCACTTTCAGAAAGACTTCCACTGCTGTGTAATCCATCATTGTAAATGTAAATGCTATTAGGAAATGATCTAACAAAAGAGGATTTTCAGAAAAAGAATTTAAATGTTCAGTTTCTAACAAGATCTAGAGTGTGATTAAAAAGGCAATTGAGTCTAATAATAGACTAAATGCTATCTTGAGGCTAATATTTTTAGTATCTACAATAATTGCTTTATCTGAGCTGAGCACTAAATCAGATAAAAAGTCTGAGAAATCAGACAGAAACCAGCCGGCTGAACAACAGATAATAACAAATAAGACAGCCTTATGAGTTTTCCAACTAGGAACAAGGGTAAGCATCAGACTTAAACCCCGTCTGGGTCTTTGGTTGATTAAAAATCTGGAGTGGGAGACTGTAACTCTAGTTACTGGTCCCAATTCTGGATAGTCACATTTTAAAAACTTTCCCACGTGTGGGATTAATAAATGTTTATCTTATCTCTTATCTTATTTTGGGCAGTTTAATGTATTTTGCCAGATTTCTACAAATGAGAGGTGCTGGGATGGATGCCATCTCTCCTAACAAGTTTCTCAATTATCTATAAATCCCGCATCACTCATACAGTGAGCAATTTAAGGGAAACATGTGGCTAAATATGACACTCCTGGTCTGATTGGAGAGGGGACCAGAGAAAACTAGACAAGCCAGCAGTGTTATGGTTACAATATTGTTACAATATTAATTTTAGTGACCTCCGATTGACTTAACCAGGTGTTATTACATCTTATTATCTTATCTGTCTAATGTGTGTAGGGAATGTCAAAAGTTCCAGAAAGGATTGCTCATCAAACAACTTGTAATAGCTGTGCTGTGGAAGCAAAGTGTACTAAAATGTCTGATAAACTGACCATAAATCTTGTGTGTATTTATTATCTTTTATCAAGCAGTTTGATTGGCCTCCTATGCTGGGAGGCTGTTTTACCAGATGAGATCATGAGATCAATAATTACTGGAAAAGGACATTTGAAAAGAAAAATTGATGATGATTTATACAAATTCTAAATAATTTTTGAGTGTTTTGGTAAAATATTGATGCTTTTCACCTCTTCAAAAGCTAATCATTCATGTGGATGTGTGGCACGTAGCCACATGGTTCAGCTCTCTTGGCTCAGTCTTTATCTCCTGTAAAAAATCTAACAAAGACCATAAATAAGCAAACAGACTGTTTAATTTTACTTTTTGAATTTGGCGACTGTTGCTGTTCGTTGCTCTTGCGAAGCAGCACGTTGAAATGTATTTCTGTTCTGACACAAGGGCCGTTCATTCAAAAGGGTTTATTTGTCGTGTGTGGTTAAATTGGTTTATTAAGACAAATGACAAATGACAAAGAACTGATAGGTAAAACATACCTTAATAGTATACATTATAGTGTCTGTATTTTAAATAAATGTGACACTTTTAAGTCAGAGTTTAGATGTTTCCAGAACAGTAGGAAAGCATGTAATAGAATGCATCATGATATTTATCAGAAATATTATATCAGTACAAGTGAATATATGTGAATCAGAATCAGAATTCTTTATTGCTATTCTGCTGAAAGCACAATGAAGTCATATGTTGTCCCATTCAGTGCAAAGAAAGCAATCTAACTATCCTTAAACATTTAGTCTATGTCCCCCAAAAATGTGTGTAAATTGTAGTGAGATCATCATTGTGAAACATTTACAACCAAAAGTAACTAATTTACTTATCTGTCAATAACATATTTTGTTGTAGATAAAATCTTGCATATGATTCAAATATGCATGTAGTGTTTAATACATGTTGTTTTGAAGCATCTATTGAATTTACACCCTTTACTTTTAAATATACACTACATTATTTTTTTCTTCTTCTATTTGAAAATCAGCAGATGTCACAAACAAGGGTATTTGTGCATAAAAATTGATTAAATTAAATAAAGCTTGCACTGGATAGCAGCACTGACTTGGTGAATTACACAGAGCTAACCAAAGCTAGTTGGCCACTGGAGTAATACACCTCTCTTCCATTCAAAGGCTGTACCGGTCTGTAGTTGTTGACCATTTTCTGTCCATCATAAAACAGAAGTTGGTTGAAAGTAGCGAGCTGTAACAAAAAAAAATTAAAACAGACAGTTAAACATGTACTTTTATTAAAAATAGTATGCAAGGGGCATACTATGATAGAACACTTTGCTAATTAATACAGCTATTATCAATGATAGCTAGGCAACAGGGTGTGTCTCACTAAAGTTAACTTGCTGCTTTACTATTCTGGTTCTACTATAACTGCAGTTTTTTTCATATAACTGTTTGAGATCAGTACAGAAATAAACAAAGAAGTGCACTTGTTTTACATTAAATGGGTTGTTGAATACATATATACATATAAGCCCTGTATTCTTTTTCTCTGATCTCTTTTCATGTCCCTATACTTTCTTGGGTAAAGTATATGCCTCATTAGCACTTAAATACACTGCTTTTTTTTTTTTTTTTTTTACCCATAAAGTATGTGTGAAATTATTCTTGTTATTTTTAACATTAAGTTTCCATTGTAACAAATTTACAATGACCAACTACTACCATCTAGTGGCTATAGTTATTGTAGCAAATACCTCGGGTTGCCATAACATTTAATATTGGTCTAATATTTGTCTTTGATTCTGGTTATACCTTTATTAGTGTCAAATGTAGCCAGTTTAAATAAATTTATTCAGAAACTATTTACAATTGTCATTTGGGGGTTATAAAAAGTTTCCAAGAAAAAGTTATTAAAAGTTGCCTTAGTGTTACACTAAATTAAATTTCAAGGATAAACTCATTACAATCTTCTTCTTCATAGATTCAGTACGATGTAGGGAATGGTACCTGATTCCTGCTGAGAGGAATAGTGCTTTCAAACAGGGTCCAGACCACAGCTTCAGCACAGTCAGGTTCGGTGAGGGAGCCCTTGTAGTGAAAGTACTTGGTCCTGTCAATTTCAGAAGGAATGAACATGTCCAGGGAGACACCCACCAGCGTTACATTCGTTTCTGGTTTGATGAAATGTTAACAAGAACATAAAGTCAGAAAGTCAGAAAAGACTTCAATCATCACTAATCCTCAAAAAATCTTCAAAAAAGTTTTATTGTGTTGTTGTGGATGTTTTATAACATTGTGTTATCTAATAATAGATGCCCTTTAGTCTAGTGTAATCAACTAAATATTTAGGACTCTATATGGAGGGTGAAAAGAAGATTATTATCATTTTTCAGCAGATATAACTTACTAGGTTGAGATATGTATTTCAGTGCACTGATAAGATGATCATACTTCTCATTTGCAGACTCAGACTCCTAAAACGAAAGAATAAAATGTTAACCGTCATACCAAAAGCAATTTATAATTAAGAAAACAACGTTAGTACAACATACAGTAGCTAATTTGGTTTAAAGACACACTAAAGCTCAAATTATACAGGTGTCCCAGATTCAAATATTGGGGATGGATACAAGAGGAAAACCAAAATAACAACACTGGTCCGGCCGGGTTGAGTCAAACGATGATTTAATGAATACACGCGTGGGAGATGGACACCGTACTCAGACAGCATCAGATCTCAAAATGGTGGAGCACTGATCAAACTCTTATAGCCTCTAGTGGCCCCCACCTAATCATAAAAGCCTTAACATTCACATTCTTTCTCTCACACGGCGCCCAAGCTACGACCTTGGCTCCCTGTTTATCTGATCCTGCTGAGATGGGGCAGAAAACCTCTCCGGTATGTTCTGTTCTCTTCTAATCAGACAAATAAGGCGATGACTTTCTGCGAACAGTATTTCTTGTAACTCAGCAGTATAATGCATCATAAAACAATATCATTCATTCACAATAAATCAGCAGTCTAATGTAATGCAAATCAGTTTAACAAATGTAATAGTTATCACCTTCTTCTAATTCAGGAGAATAATGCTAACTAAAACTACATAATAATTCACAATCTTTAATTAGGGGTCTAACATGGCATAAAATAATATTATAATCCCACACAGGACATGTGATCATTCAGCAGCTGGAGGGTTGTTCAGTCTGATGGCAAAGGCAGTCCTCTGGAATGTTTTCTGATGGGTCCACATGTATTTAATAAATAATCAGATACAGCAGATTATTTGCATTTGGGAGCAGTATAATTAGAAAAGCTTTAACTCTTGCTGTTATTCTTTTTGTTGTTTTTAATCTGCCATTTTTTTAATGGTTAGTCTATTTTTCCTTATTATAGGAACATTATACCTGTATGGTTTTTTAAAATGTGCCTTTTGCAAATGTTGGTTGTTTTTTTTTTGTGGCTACTGTAAAACTACTGGTTTGGACTGGATGCTGGACATTTTTTTGAAATGATGTTTACCAAGTACCTGAAAAAAAAATCCCAAAACAGCCACACTTGTACTGTCTTTTGAAGCCTCAGCTAACAAGTCATATTCTTCTTTTATATGGACGATATGCATCTACAGATAAAATAAAGCACTGCATTAGAATAATTAGGATCTATTTGAATCCAATACATAAAATTACTTAAATACATATAGTGTCAATCACAAAATATTTCTACTGATTTATGACATACTGTACCTCCATTGGAAACGTTTCTCCATCAATTGTGTGCTAGAACCAAGTCCTCCATCTTTGCCCCAGGTGAAACTGAATTGCCTTGTATTCATCAACCAGATTTCCTTCTTTGATTTGTATACTGGAAGGCAAATTTAGCTGAACTGAAATTCAGAATAAAAAAATAAAAATAAAAACCATTAGACAATCTTCCATGGATGCTCCCATTATTTCAATTGCAAATGAACATTTGTGGCTCATCAGATCTCACAGGTTATTGTGGGTATATTTAGCTTTTGCACATGACATATTTTAAGAGGTATTTTTGTTACATGAGACGCTTGGTTGCTATTGTTGTCCATTTTACCACCTTCTCCTCCCTATACTGCTAACCATGTTATCTACAGATGGGGTTGTTGCGTTACATTTTTACAGCCAAAATCAAAATCATAGTGTCAAACTATATTTCTCAAACAAACTTGGATTAATAATTAAGACATACCACTGTGGCCAGTATTTATGAGGCTCTCATAAAAAGTCTCTTTATAACCGGTGAAGTGAAAAGGAGTCAGGCGTTCATCTGGTAGCACTTTACTTGTGACAATATTAACTGGAGACTGAGATCTACCATTGCAGGTTTGTGAAACCAGTCCCCACAGCTCTGGACCTGTGAGGAGAAGAATATAAACAGCTCCACTAACATGCCTCCTTTGGTTAACCATTCATTTGGCTTGTTTTATTTTTATTTATTTTTTTAAATATATTTTTTAAAGTTTACCTGTGCAGGTGTGGTTGCATTGAAGTTGGGAATAGTAGCAAAAATCTAAAAGATCAGGTTTGGAATATTTTAAAAGCGAAAAGAATTATTCATCTGTAGGTTATGAGGTATTAATTTTTGAGCATTTGCAATCACAATCGCATGTGACTTTATCTAATCTATCTCATCTTTATCTAAACTTTCAATACAATTTTAGATATCTGTTTGAATTAAATTGACCCTATTGGTCACAAGCACATTTATATTAATGATTAATTATTTCAATAAATACACTTTTGATTTTATATATTTCAGTTGTATTGTAGTCAACATTGTTTACTGAAGGCAAATAAAATCTATCATTTTTTGCGTGCAGTATCCAATGTCATGCAACTTATACACAAATGAAAAAACAAAGAAATATAAAACTCACACCTGCCCCTGAGACGAGACTCACAAAAGATGTGAAGAGAAATAAAACAGATCTGAGCAGCATTGTGAATCCACTTATAGTGTAGATTCTTCCAGCACTGACTGTTTCACTCACTGAGTTCAACCAGACTATCATACAACTGGGAGCCCCACCTATCAACCCCGTTTTATAATGCACACTTTAGATTTATGACACCTAATTTGTGAGGACAGTGACACACAGCAAGAGATATCTCTGCGTTCATATTCTTGAGATAGTGAATGGACCCTAACGCTGAAGGTGTCTTCCTCCAGAAATGAGCCCACAGGTGATTTGTCCAAACTGCAAGCTACAGTTACATTTTTGAAGTTAAGGGACCTCTAGTGGTGATGTGAAAAAATGCAAGTGACATGTTTGCTGGTGTCTTTACCTTTAAGAAAAACTAGATTTTCTAAAAAGTAGATTTATTAACCACGAGAAGTGTCATTGTTTGGGATTAGATTTGTGATACTATTTATGAGTTAGGATTGTTTTTATCACTCTTTTCTACTATGTCAGGGTCACATGAGACAGTGAGTGACTGGACGAGCAGTTCATTGTTCATTCAGCAGTTTGCACACAAAATTTAGTTCAGTTGAGTTCATTCCAGGTTTTGCAATAATTAGCCAATTAAAAAACTCTATTTCATGTACCATGTTGAATCACTCTTTAGAGCTCTGCTGTGCTGAGAATGGACAAATCAACCAACAAATCAATGATGGGCCAGAGCAGAAGAATTCCTGCTCTTGGATTCCTGCTCACCAAGAACTAGTGATGGGATTTCCGGCTCTTTTTAGAGATCCGGCTCTTTCGGCTCGGCTCACTAAAAAGAGCCGGGTCTTTTGGCTCCGAACCGGCTCTTCAGGTTGTTTTGTTGCTTTAATTATTTAATCATTAACAATAATATAAAATTATGCAGAAAAGGAATTACTAATGTAAAAAAAGTGGTTTTATTTATATATGTTTATATATGGCCCCTAGAGACAAAGCACGTATAAACTCTAAAGCATATACAAACTCCAAAAAGCACGTACACACTCCAAAACACATTTCTAGCATGAACTGAACTTCCAAAACAGAGCTACCCAGATCACTTAAATTACACAATTGAAAGCATGTGTGTATTGTTTGTGTATTTA